TGCATGTTCAACCTTTATTATACCCACTTAAGTACTTCATACCTTCTCGATGCATTATTTTCACTTATGTTGTATGCTTGTATATGTTTGGTTTTCATGAATGTAGTGTTTCAGTTATTGAAGAGGTGCTTTTATGTAAGTATAAGTTAATAGTGAAATTTTAAGAAAATATAGAAACCAAATTAAGAAATAATGTATTTAGAATAAAATAATCACATTATATTATTATTATTATATTATATAAATCATGTTATATTATATATTCCCTATCATACTACATATCAAAATAATCATCATAAATATTGTTGACAAATATAAATTATATTATCTGATCCATAAAATACCATATGATTGATTTGGTTAAAACCATCCATAATTAGTCATTGAGTTTATCAAAATACATTAATCATATAGTGTGATATAGCTCAATTTTCCATAAAGAGGCCTCATATTTCACTTCTCTTCAATCATTTTTTCTGTCTTCTTAGGTTTTTATTTGAGTGGAAAGTACATGAAATCATGTAAGAGACCACATAATATTGAAGCATTTTCATCCTTTCCACAACCATATCTACTATTCAAAACTTTGAAGATGTTGCATGTGGGAGATATTATAGCTCACATATCAATGGCTCATAATTGATGCTTCATAAATTCCTTCTTTACTCTATTTTTTTGTTTTTTTATAGAACTATTTTTTTCAATTCCTCATTTTCATGGACCACTTCAAGCATCTTCTTAGCTTTCAATGAACAATATGATTATTTGTGGGCACAATCATGTGATCTATAATGTGTAGAAGGCAAGTTTGGATATCCGACAAAACTTGTACAACTACCAGTATATATTGAATAATGATGATTTCCCGCGTGCTATTAGCATTGATCCTTGTTAAAATTGAAAAAATAAACCAAGTATTATGTAATTCCTCTCTATAACATCTTCAACTGCCTGTTAGTGCTCTTTTAAAGAACGTTTGTATTATCTAATATGTTTTTTGACATAATATTATTTCCAAAATTGGTGATAGTTGAAATTCAAATATTTTAAAAACTTAGCAATGAAACAAGTGCTCTCTAAGTGTTATTTATTTGAGTCTAAATTATCATAGTTCTTGCTTCAAGCTTTACCCTAATAATAACCTAAGCAAATGCTATTAGGTTAGGTTGTTTTACCTCTTTCATAATATGTAAAGAGTCCCTAATCATATTTTGGGAAGAAAATCTCAATAAGAAAATTAAAAAAGGTGGGGGTCAATAAGAAAAAGCAGATTGAAAAAAATTATTATTTCACTTATCTCATGGGGATTCCAAATAATAGAAACGAGTATTTATCAAAGGCAACTTATCAAGCCCCCTCATTGAAGGCCTTTACTAGAGTTGCAAAGAAGACAATTAAACAACTTAAGAATTCACAAAGGACAATACCAATTGCTCATGGAAGTGCATTTCAATCCTCAAGGATTAATTAGGTGGAAAAAGAAATCACTTTTAGAATGGTGATAAAAGAAAATTTTATGATAGAACAAGTACTACTCCGCCCATCCAAAAATTCTCCACCAAACATTAGAACTTCTAGTTGGTGATAAAGTTTAATTATAAGGACTCATTGTTTGGGAATATTGTCATCATTTATAGTATTTAATGAACTTTTTCGGTCTACAATCATAGAATTCCCCACCAAAAAAAAGGCCTCCATTGATGTTCAGTCATGGATCTCAAATAAGAAAGGAATAAGAAATAAGGAATTAAGACAACCGTAGGAATTATATTCCACAAACCTTAACAAAGGAGCTTATCACATGTGACTAGAAAACCAATAACATTCTTATAGAGTTGTTCCATGGCTTTAATTATAGACTAGAGTATAACAAAGAAAAAAGAGATTGACACCAAGACAACAGGCTATAAATGACCCAAGTTTGGGTGAGTATGTTGTTGTTTAGATTTGATTATTTATAGAGCCAAACACAAATGCACAAAAGCATGTTAAATTTTTCAGTTTTCACCAAGTGTCCTAAAAAAACTCGAGAATTAATGTATTTTTTCATATAATTTAAAGGATTTGTTACTCATGTGTTTTAATTATATTCGATAGTTTAAGTTGATGCACCTGAAGAATAAAAACGACTTTTATTAATGATCATATATTGAGTGAATTAGTGGGATAATAAAAGAGAGGCCGAATTCATCTTACTAGTGGGATGATATTATACAAGCATTAATATATATTCATGGAGTAAAAAAATGTTAGATGTAGTAATCGAATAAAAGGAAAACGAACACTACTAAATGAACCGCCTTATTATGATTTTCTCATCCAACACCTACAGTTGTAAATGAATCAATACATTCGATGAACAACTTGAGCTCGACTCGATTAAGCCTCAAACATTTTTATTCAAATTAGTTAATAAGCAAGTTTGAATGAATTTTAAAAGCTCAAAGCTTAAACAAACTGAATATGAACATAATCAAACTTGTTCATTTATATTCACAAACAAATTTATTTATTGTTCAACAAGTAACTTTTTAAATGTTCAATATTAAACTCCATAATAACTTATATTATATATATTATATATTATTTAAATAAAACTTAATTAGTTAAACTTTAGTTAATTATAAATTTAATAATAATATATTATTATATCAATAATTTTTTATTTAATTATTAATTATATATTTATTTTATTAATTAGTGAATTATAATTTAAAATGAGACATTCACAATCACAAAAAAAAAAAAATTCACGTTCAATTTGAATACAATTATAACCATCACACTGCAATTATTGATATTAATATGAATTGCCTTATTACTATTACTTTCTTATTAATATAATTATACAAATAATTATCCCTATTACTTCTCGCATCAATTTAGATCTTCTGCTTATAAAATTTAAACTAGTGTAATCATATTAATAAGAATTATATAACTAATTAGTAAAATTTAAATATTATAGAATTAATAATCGATAATTTACTAACTTCAATTAAAATTGCAATATTATTTATTAATTTTTTTTAAAATGAAAATCTAAATTATAGTCTAAATTTTTAGCTTATTTAAATACTAGTATAAATCAAATTCAAACATTAAAAGAAATAAACAAATCAAACTTAAACAATGTACGAAAGCTCAACATAAGCTCAAGCCGAACATGAACAATTTATAATTATATCAGACCAACTTCGAAAAATAAAGCTCGCTAAGCTGGCTCGATGACAGAAAAATAAGATAGTTTGTAATCCCTTAGCTTTTTTATATTTATGTTTTCTTGGTGGATCCTCTGCTTGTTACCACTGAATCGCAATTTTTTTTTTGGTAAGTGTTTTATAAGAACGATAGCTTCTCGGTTAGTTTACTGTTTAGAGCCATTTAGCATTCAGCTTTTGGTTTCTTTCAATAATTGTGAATCAGAATCTCCAGCAATTAATGCTAAAATTTGTTCAGTTATGATTATTTAAGGGCAGTTTGGATTTGTTCTTTCTTCTTCCAGTCATCTAAAACTTGATGTACATGTGCTAAATCATATGTTTCAATGATGTGCAGGGTTGGAAAGAATGTTTTGATGCTTGCTTGTGATTTCTGTAGTTGTAGCAAGATGTGGAAGTTTGGCTTAAAAAAATGGTGATAATGACCAATTTGTTGTGTTTTTTTTCTGATGTTTATGATTAAGATTGGATTAAAAACAACATTACGATCAGGTTAAAACTGTTAAAGCTGCTGGGGGATGATTATGTGAAACTAACTTGTGTTAAGGATTCCCGTAAACATAAGTTCATCTTCTTCTAAGCTTTGTTAAAGTGCTGTTGAAACTAAGGATAGTTGTTATGAACATATGCAAATTATGACAAAAGTTCAAGATAGTCCCATAAAAGTTCTGAATGCTTTTTTTTAAATTGGAAGCTATTGGAATATGCGCAACTGTTTTGGATAACCTAGTCCCATAAAAGTTCAAGATAGTTCAATAGTAGATGTACAATTGCATGCTAATTCAATTGGGCATCTATTTACCTATCAGAATGTATAATCATTGTATGAAACTTCTGATCCTCCTACACATAAAATTATTGTGACAAATTTCAAGTATTCCACTAGAAGTGGATTAAAATTGCTTGCAGACTTGTAGATTTAGAAATGAATGCTAATCCAGTTGCTATTCTATTTACTTTCGAGTGGGAGGACAGTTCAAATGTAGGTAGAACATCTCATATTGCCTCCAACAAAATTTGAAGATATTCAATTACTTGCCTTATTTGAATTTGCCTTCATCTATTATCATAACTGAAAATAATAGAACATTAAATGAGCTATTACCAAAATGAATTTTTGCTTAAGAAGTTTAAAAAATATAGCTGTTACAACTTTTTTTAAACAGTTTTATCAAACAGGGGCACCATGGTCATTTTTTCCAGAAATAGATGTCCCACAGTTGTTTTCACGCAGCTATCTCAAACAAGCAGTCAGCTTCCCTGCCCCAAACAGAGCCTTAATCCAATGAAATGATACTTCATGTAAACGTGATAACAATAGCATATGAACGCAAACTTGACAAATTAATTAAAAATAAAAAAAAAATAAGACAAATCTTGAAACGCGTACTATGTGCATATGCTTTCCACTTCTTTTCCATTATATAACATAAATTAAATAATGAAATGCAATAAAATATCTCAAGAACAATGTATATCTGCAAAAACAAACACAAGGCTATAGAAGGGAATAACGGAAAACAAAACAGGGAAGTGCTTCACAAAGTGTTCTACAGACAGATTAAAAAGAGAAGATTAAGAACAGACGGACCCATTCTCGAGTTCTCACTAAATTTGACGATCGACATTACATTGAATTAAGAGCCAGGTCTCTAAATGAAGAATAAAGGGATGGGCTGTTTCTCTATTACCTTTCTTTTTGGCAGGAATATAAATTATTTGTCATAGAAATGCAGAAAGCAGCTTGCTTTTACATGCTTTGGCACCAGGGGGGGAAGAACTCAGGAACAAATAGGTTTTGAATAACGCAGTAAGAATCTTGTGCTATGCAATAGTTGGCTGAAATTAATGCAGCCAGAGTGCTGGTAGTATCCAATGGAAATAACTATGTCTGGAGCAGCTTTGGCCAAGCATTATACTTGTAGCTGTGTCAAAAAAACCTACATATGGAGCACATCATAAGATTTATAAACTTGTTATGAACGGTTTTGGGGAATTAAAAACCTTGCTTTATACTCCTTAAGAAAAGATAGGAAAAAAGCTATTCAATTTAGCTACTAAAGTGCATCTCCTGTGATCAAGGTATTTCAGCAATAGTTGATTACTATCATTTCCAGTAGTAAAAGAAAAATGAAAAAGACGACACTTTTAGGGAGGGCGAAGAAAAAAAACCTAATAAGTTACATCAATGTTTCAATCAAAAAATACATTAATGCAAGTTGCTTAGCTGAAAAATGGATGCTAAATAAATAAGATGAAGCAACTCTATTGAGTTTGTTTGGTCATAAAGGTATGGTAATACCTAAGATACCAAACCAACTTTTTAATTCATACATATACCCCTACAAAATAAATGTAACCTCATTTATCTATATTTTATTTTGTAGGGGTGAAGACGTCTTGCTAGTATAGCTTTGTTTGAAAATCGCATGGCTTTACTAGATGGGTCCACGAACAAATGCATATTGAAAATCAACCATAAAGTATGTATGATCTCAGCCTGACCAAGGAGAGGGAATACCTCGGGCTAATCCAGAAGTTGATCAAAAAATAGTTTTATAGAATGGGGCTAGGAGAGAAATGTGGCCCTTCATTGTATTCAGTTCTGCAGGTCATGGGATGGGGCATGATGACATTTCTAACTTCTCCTAATTTAAGAATACTTTAATAGATTAGTGTGCACTATCACACAAATACTAAAGCATATGCTTCATAGGGAAATTTTCAAAACATGGGCAATTTAAAAAAAAGGTGTAGTAAGTCCTCTAGACATTGAAAGACCACATTCTTTCAACTATATGTAGTGACTACAGCAGCTTTCCTCCCACAAGGATGCAAATGTACAGTTTGTCCATAGGAGAGATTTTCCCACTTATACTGAGAAAAGAACTGTAGACCCATGAAATGTCTTAACAAAGCAGATGTCTTACTGCATAGTCAACAGAATGTGTGGTACTAAACATAAATAAACATTAATCTACTTGAACCTACAGACATATGACATCACATGCACAGAATCAGGGTTACACTACCTTAGCTTCGATTTTTATTTCTACTGGTAATTTTAAAGAACTTGAATAAAAGGTTCTGACCATGTTAATAACAATCATTCACATGTTAGCCATTGCAGAGTTTTGTTGTAAGAAGGGGAAAAGAAAATATGATGTGATTGAATTTACATCTATCATGATTGCTTGGAACAAAGTGGACCATACACCATGTCAGAATATAATAGTTTTCTTTCATATATAAAACCCCGGCAAACAAATTTCACAGCATATATCCACTAACAAAATAAATGGATGCAAAAAAATTAGAAGCGCTCCTCACTTCAGAATCAAAAAGGAGCCTCAGCAGCTTCATCCCAGACATCTCCACTGCCAATTGAGGCATCTTCGCCATCTTCTTCCATGGATAACCTAATATATTCTCTATGGGCAAAGCGATCCCACTCTGTCAATGTTGGATTTTCACGCTCCTGCAAAAAAAATTGAAAAAATTTTGTTTACATAAAAGCAAAAGGGATCAGAATCCAAGTTTCTGAATTTGGATAAAAAAGTCTCAAAAACAGCACATAAGAAATTTACCTGCCGAATAAGAAATGGATCGCGAGTTTCGAATGCCATGAACTTGTTAAGATTGAAGAGAATATTAAAAATGTTTCCAGACAGTTTGCAGCCTTTCAAATCTCGAAGAGTTAAGTAACTCTCATTCTGCACACAAGTTTTTTTCTCAGGGACCACAAAGTTGGTATTTGACAAAAATTAGGATATCATTCACAAAAAAAAAAAAAAAAAGATCAGGATGATTGCAATTGAGGTAATATCTAGGAGAAAGTAACCTCTGGAGCAATCATGTCAACCATCTGACACAAAATATCCTCAAATAGCACAGGTTCCTGTGCCATGCACTCCATGCGATGCAGCTGCTCATCGTAGAAGAATTGCATCTCATTAGGTGTAAGAATGCCATTTCCATCCAAATCTATGCACTTGAACCTGGTAAGAAGAACAAAACATAATAATAAATTAACTTAACTGATGAAAATCATCCTCAAGATGACAAGCATTTTCATAGTATTCATTAGATATAATAGATGACAGATATTTACCGTCTATCCATGCAGTAATTATTCAACTACCCTAAAAAGTCCAGATTTCAAATTACTAGCAGATCAAATGCTTAGTCAGTACAATCATCCTTATCTTTAACCTTATCCCATCTATTTAAGGATTGGCTTCATGAAACATTCATTCAGATCCCACTGAATGTAGCATGAGAAATTACATCATTTATGTGTAGGTTTTCTTGCAAAATTTATTTAATTTTAACCGTCTAATGGGAGCATTTTCTACCCTTGCACATGTTCAAACCACCTAACACCATCCTATATTCAATAAATGCCACTTCCACTACTCCCACTATTTCTAAGTCATCTCACTCTTAACTCACCACACCTCCAACTTTAATCCCAATCCACCCAACTTGGGTTGGTGTCCAATCTTTCCAAGTGGATGGTATCAATAATTAGAGAAATCATTGGGTGTTTTATAGTAATGTTGTGTAGCCTAATTACAGTGTAGGTTTAAAAAAAGTAAAGGCGTGACAATCATTTAATCACCTTCAAGATTATTAGGTTGCAATAAAACTGCTTAAAATTTCCAAATAGTTTGATGTCTATTAAATTTGAATGGCAAATGTGAATAGATTGATAGAAGTGCACTAGAGATCAGCAAACACGAGAAATAATATTAATTTGATAGAAGATAATAAGAGTAAAAATCATCTTTTGTTCATGTTACTCATCCAGATAAAAGTGTTCATAAGGTCCCTAATATATTCTTCACGACCAACTTGATATTTAGATTAGGATAGGATTAGAGATTACTATTTGGTAGAGAATTGAACGAGGAAACAGGAAAAGAGACTCAGACTGCCCTCCTTAGAAGAGAAACTCAATGGGCCTGCTAGAGAGAAGAGAAAAGGTAGAAATGACTCCGGTTCTAGACTTGTGGAGAATCAATCAGAGTACGAAAAGAGATGGAAAAGGAGTATGATCAAAAAAATCAAATTTTATTCCTGCATGCAAATACTTACAATGATCCCCTAAAATAAAAAATGGAATAAATTTCAAGAAAAATTCAAATTTTAAATTAATTTAAAAATAAGAACTAAACAAATAAAATAGATAACCAATCACTAAAAATTATAAAATGAAATACAATTCATTTAATCTTTATTAATGTGGATGGTCAAGCTAGGAAGTGAAGTTAATTGTTCAACATTCTCCATGGATATACATTTAATGCTTGTTTTTAGGATATTCAAATTTGAATTCTCTTTTTAGCGGCCAACCAAAGTTTCAGTCATGAATAAGAATTGAGTTGATCAACTTGGTGAGGAATATTCTTCCGAGCTTTTGAATATTTCTGGGAACCTTACCAAAATCCAAAGAAAGCCGTTAAAGCATATAAAAGCTGTTCAAAACTCAAATTCATTGAGAAGTTATGAGGTCGGAATTATTTTCTTAAGCATACACAAGCATATTTTATTATTTGATTTGCTGATAATAAATCTTGTTTGGTGGTTTAATGGTTTGCTAAGTATTCTTTATAAATTAATCAATTCACAGCAATTATGTATACAAATTTTAATGTTAATTAAGCAATTGGAGCATAGTCTACGTCGAGGATGAATATCAAAGTAACCATTACAAGAAAACTCAAATGCATGCCGTTAGGTTCATAAGAACTCCAAGGTTGTTTTAATATATGTTTGAAGTGTCAATAGCTTTTCAATACATTGGATAGAGGTAGAACATTAACAAAGCCTCAAATGATGATTTACATGCAACAACAACAACAACAACAAAGCCTTAATCCCATTACGTGGGGTCGGCTACATGAATCCTTTTTCTCCATTACGTCCTATTTAGTGTCATATTTTCATTTAGTTCTAATAAATTAAGATCATTTTTATACAATAAACCTAAATCTTCCTAGGTCTACCTGCCTTTCTTAACAAAAGTCAAATCTAAAACATTTACTCTTCTAATCGGATCATCAGATTATCGACGTTTAATTTAACCAAACCATCTAAGACGACTCTCTCTAATTTTGTTCGTCACTGGAGCTACAACCCAATAAAATGATGATTAATATAAGTCTAAAAAATTAATTTAAAAAGCATTTCAGAGCATAAAAACCATATAATGATAATTCGCAGAATGGTTTTTTGCACACAAGAATCAAAATCTATTTAAAATGCCTAATAATGCAATACAAAAAATTTGTCCCAAAATATATTTAAATCATGACGGCATGTATTCAAGAAAATTTAGTTTCAATTCAATCAAAATTTACGCCACATATTTCTCAACATCTTTTATATCAAAAAATTCAATAAATACATAATAATAATAATTACAAATGTTCAAAATTACATCTAAAAAAATATCACAATTGAATCGAAAACATCGTTTACACTCAAAATCATATATAGGTTCATTGAATTCACACATATTGCAAAATAACCATTTTTCCAAATTTCCTAATTAGCTTTTTTAATTGGTATGAGTTGCTATTCATTTCGACATTCAAGAAAAAAAAAGTAATACTCGATTTTCTTCAAGCTAGAACAAGCATATTAAGTTTACATGTTGCATGCCAAGTTGATACCGAAGGGAAAAGCCCAAACCACAAAATATACACAATATTGTTGCTGAACTGAAAGAGCCTACAAACACGACACTTGAAAAGCAGGAAATATCGACAAACACAAAATACATAAACAATAAAAGATAACTGCAGGAGAAGACGAAGACGGAGACTGCCAGGCGATGGCATGAGAGGGTTGTTGTGGCAGCAATAATAGGAGAGGGCTATGATGGTCGAGGGAGTGTTGGACAGTCGCGGGGAAGAGCAGAAGGGTTGCGATGGACGGGAAGAGTGTTGGATAGCTATGGGGGAAAAACAGGTGGGCTGCGGTGGTTGGAAGAGTGTTGGACAGTTGCGGGGGAAGAGCAGGAGGGGTGGTAGTGGCTAGAAGAGGACAAGTCGGTGATTGGCAGTGGGAAGGAAGGAGCAGCGGTAGATAAAATGATGGAACTGTAGAAGGAAAACAGATGTATGGTAAGATAAATGTCTTATCAGGGTCGAGCTACAGCCGAAGCACCCCTCAGACCTTTGGAGACGGTCAACACCTAAAACGAGAGATAATCAGAGCACTTCATCGAATTCAGATACAGTCCTTGAAAAGGAAAACCAAACGCCGACAGTTATCCTCATAATGCTAAAATCAGAAATAACATAAGATGTAACCCTAAGACCTAAAAACACATATAAATAGAAGTAGGATGAACGAAAAAAGAAAATAAGGTGGAAAATTTCCCGCCTAATGAAAAGAGGGGAGGGGCCGATTCAGCCCCTTCTCTCAATTGAACTGGTTTGAGGTCACTACCTTCCAACACGGCAACCAATTTTTTTTCTTTCTTTCGTTTAATTTTTTCTTTCTTCTTTCTTTGTTCCTTCTTTTCTTTCCATCCAAGATCCCGAACAGTCAACCATGCCGCTAAGGAGATCTATGCTCGAGCTTACCCGGGACGAGATAAGGCAAGAGCTCCACCATCTTCCGCGGAGGCTTATGAATATTGAAGAGCAATTCCAGAGGGAGATTACCCTCAACCATGACCTAAAAGGTTGAAGAGAAGAACGAGAAAATATAACGATGAAGCAGGAAACACAGCGTCAGTTCTTACCAACTTACTACCGTCAAAAGTTGCAAATCCTAGATTCTTAAGTGGAGAAACCGCAACACCAAGCAACCACCCTGATTATTATCCAACAAAACCAATCTGCAAGTCTGTCACAGCCAGAAAATGTGGCAATTGCCACGGATTTGGACATGTTGAAGTAGAATACACAACCAAAGGAGTGATCTACTTCGCCGAGCAGGACATCATCGAAAAGTTGGGTGAAGACACCGCAAGCACTGAAGAGCAGTTTGAACGAGAATTTTCATTCGATGACGCTTCCCCCATGGAAATCCCTTGTTCGTGGATACATTCAATGTCTTTCCTCCATGTGATCAAAAGGAACATGAGACTTTTGATGAGATTGTGGTTCATGTCCTCCTAGAAGATGGAGAACTTCTTGTTGAGACATAAAAATCACGAAGGCAAGGTGTAAGAATTTAAAATTTCAATGGAAGGTCTTTGTGACGTCCAACTGATAGCATCACGAGCTGCTACACTTCCAGCCCTCGCCCCTGGTGTTCCATATGAAGAGACGACGGGCAAGTGTGAAGCTCTTGTTATTAGAACGCAGCGGAAGATGTCAGTTCTCCAAAACTTCAAGAGCCAAAGGGAAGACCTGGAAGATAATAAGAATCACCATCAATCAAACTCTTGCAAACCCTCAATCTCGTTGAGGCACAACTTGACATAGGCGAGAAGCATATAAGATATTCTCAAAATTAGGCTCGGAAGCACCAACGTCGTTGTGTACCTCTAACTCGGACAATGCCAAATTGGAACAGATCGATAAGGAGGTATGCTTGCAAGTGAGAAAAACACCTTAAATGTTTTGGTAGACAGTGTAGTCGCCAGTGGGATCCAATGGTGGTTGAAAACGAAACAAAAACTTCAATCTATGACGTCAAAGCTCCCCCAACCCCGGGAGGCTAACATGGGGCTCGGAGGAGGACCAATCGGTCCTCAACGGAGGGGGGTTGTCGCCCCCTCCATCCTTTTCCCTCATTTCTTTTTTCCCTTTTTTCCCCTTTTCCTCCTTTCATTTTTCCTTCCTTTCCTTCTTTCTTATTTTCCTTCCTAAGACTTTCCTATTTTAAAAACTTTCCTAAAACTTAAATCTAATTTTTATTCTCCCATCTGATATTTAAATCCTTTCTCATTTTAAATTATTTCCTATTTTAAACCCTTCATAAAATTTGAAATCATAATTATATGTTATTCTCCGTTCTTATTCTAAATCATTTCTTA